AAAAGCATGTATTAGACATCTTTTGAAGGGGAGAGGGCACGGCCGTAATTAAAAGTTATATAGAGACTAGGAAGGAATGAACTGTCATTAAATTTTGGTTAAGAACTATTACCTAAACTCTTCACTTTCACATTTTCAATTACAGATTCTTGTTTTTAAAAAGCTATACATGTACATTTATATGTATCTATTAGATGCATAAATTATGTTATTAATCATTTTATCTTAAAGGAAAAGTAAAAATCTCAATCAAACTTGTTCCGCATATTATGCTCTCTGATTCATTACTCAACAGATGCTTCATTTACATGTAAGAAGGGAAGACTGCAGACTGCAGGTGTGATAAATTCACAGCATGCAGCTCCAGCCTTAATTCCAACTTTGTTCCAAAATATTATTATTCAACGCGAAAAATTAGAATTAGCCGATAGAATATTTTGAATCACTTCGGAAATGCTGCCGTAACACCAGACTGAGTTCACAATATCGAGTGATTTTGATTGACAGGTGTAGCGCCGTTGTGCATGGATTTCGTGTAGCTATACATGTACTGCAGATTGTGGTTGAAAATAATAAACAAACAGATCTAAAGAAAAGATATTGTATACTGTACATATATTTGTTGAGAACCAGTTCATTCATGAAACGAATTTAGTCGTATTATGTGGGCCCATGTTAGATTTGACAGGTTGATTTACTGGTAGAAATTCAATGGACCACAGTCATTTAGGGTATTCCGAATCACCCCGCACATCGCGACTCTCGGTAATTTACCTTACCGCTGTACCTCGCACGACACATGCACAGGTGTGACAACCAAACAGTCATTATTAGTAAGGTCTACACTTATTGCATACAACAGATAAAGAGGTAAACATAATGCGTTAACTAAAAGAATTAATTATTTTAATTCATTAACTTCCTATCCTTTTCGATGAAAATGCCCGTGTAGAAACGTATTTCTCATCGATGTCGTGGCGTTGTTGGTGGATGAAACATGGCATATAAGGTATCAATAGAACGGCAATTTTATAAGCTTTTGTGAGTATTATTTGTTTTTTATAACACCTCAAAAATATACTAGTTATGGCCGGATTTGTAGCCCCCTACAGTTTCGAACCATGTGTGTACATGCCCCTAGCCAAATAAATTGCACACGCTACATGTATACTTGTTATATGTCAGATTATTATTTTTTTTATAACATTGTTTTTCTTAAATGCAAGGGGTATGAAAGTAATGATTTGACAAAGCAAGAGCTATAATAAGACTATCCCGGGTCCCGGTATACACTTGATCAGTGTTGATCAATGTTCATATGTACGAGTACACGTATGCAAATAATTCGATAGCTTTTGAAGATTTCAACATACATTTTTGTAACACACATATTTTTAATAACCACTTTATATACAAAACAAAATTTCATTCTCTTATATGGTAATATGGACGTCGTAATAGATCTGACTGAATGCTTGATATGCCTGTTTCAAAAACGTTTCCTAAGTTATCTTAAGATATGCCTAAGTTATAACGTTAGAAGTTCCTAAGATTTATCACAGCTGTATCGCGAAACAATCTTATCTAAAAAAAAAAATTATAAGTCATTTCTTAAGTTGTGCCTTTAAGGACTAATAAAATAACATTCCCGCTCTATATACAACTCTCAGTATGGTATATATTTTTAGATTCAAAAAGGAAGGGTGCGAGGATTGGGGATTAATTGCCCCCACTTTTAAAGGATTTGGACACAAGTATGCTTAACTTTGCGAAGTGTGTTGCTAGATCTAAGCATTCACAGACACACCCTTTCAAGCCATCTTCCCTTCCGAGCACACGATATTTGTATTTTAATTTTTAAACATTGTTCTAGGTGTTATACATTTACTTTATTTTGTTCTTATAAGGTATCTACATGTAAATAAAATTTTAAAATGAATGCTTCGTAGCGAACACATGCGAGTTTATATTTTTCAAACAATCTTTGCCAATTACTACACTGCATGTACACGTTAGTTGTTTGTGCGGTGTAGAGCAACAATGTATTTCAACATCGAGGTGCCCGCGGCTCTCTGTGGCCACGTGTATGTAAACGAGGACTGGACTACAACACTTAAAGACACAAAGCGGCAGAGATGGATGAAACTGTTTGCTATATTACAAAGACTTGAATTATAGTACATGTATATTTGAAGGAATTTTTATTTATGTTAATGTTTATTTAATTCTATACATAATAAATGGACATTCACAAGAGTGATGGTAAAAATAATATGTGCGTAGCATGCGTAGTAATTACAATTATTTACCGAAGCCCCCATTCAATTACAATTGCAGATGAATTAAAATACAACAACACGGGATAGAGCAATACTTTTTTTAAATGTATTGTTGCGTGAACAGACAAAAACAGCGATTAAAATTCAAAATGATTTTTATGCACCAGTGTTTGGAATTAAGATTATAAAAGATCGGTAAAGTAATCTTACTGATTCGATATAATTTAAAAAATAACTTTCCAATAATTAATAGCTCTTTGTACAAAATTGACATTATACGCGATCAAAAATACTAGCTTTGTTTATGGCCACAGGTGGCTAGTACACTGGTGACCTCGATCAACAGCGTGGGATTCGCGCGTTGGGTTACATAACTAAACATCGAGCTGAACATGGAGACCGTAATATGCATACATCTAATGATCGTGAATTATTCAATGCATACAGTTTAAAATCACTTACAAAGTTTGTTGTAATAATAAACGTAGAAAGATAGATTTAATATTCTCCGCTTTTGAACACTATTAACCTAATTTAAAAAAGAAGAAGAAAGACTAGTTGTAATAAATAATTTAATAGTGAACCATAAAGCACGTTTTAAACCTTATTAAAAAGAAAATTAACATTAAATACCGCAGGGTATATTATTGATAGCAAGTCTGTTTAAGTTATACACATGAAGAGGTCTGATTTCCTTGCCGAATGAAAAAGTTACCTGTTTACCTGGCCTGCTTTCTAATGCGTATTACGCAATACCCATGGTATACTCGAAAAAATCAACATTTTCATTAGATCAAAAAGGTGTAAAAGAAAAATTTTGTTCCCAAGATCCAGATCGAAATATTTACCGTTTTTGAGTTACAAAGCTAAAACTTTTAAGGGCCCAAGATCCCTAATCATAGGGGCCAGCCCCTTTTAAATAGTATAATATGAAAGCCCTTGCAATTATGCACAACTTTTGTTCTACATGTTTTAACAAAATATTTCTAGTTTTCAAGATATAAAGGAAAATATGTCAAATTTTTTGCTGTTTTCCGCGTTCTAACTTTTGACCCCTCTCTAGCGCCATTTTTAATGCAAAAATCAAAAAACAAAAACCGATGTGCACAACTTCAATGCTTCCTCTTTTCAATTTCAAAGGGTTTTGTGCTCCAATTATAACCATTTCTGAGCCTTTGTCTGGAAATCGGAGGCATGCAAAATTCAATCAAAGGGGAATAACTCGTGAACAGAAGGTAATTTCCGAATTGTATTACGGTATTCTGACAGTATTTTGTAAAGTCTAAAAGCTCTGAAAATTTGAACAAAATCTGTTTAAAAATGAGGAAGATATGAAGCGTCAAAGTTGGCGTCTAGGAAAAAAAAAAAAGAATAATAAGAATAATCTTAATCATCACAATCAGTAGAAGGTCTTCCGTTGGAAACGGAAGACCTTAATAATATATTTACTGACCCGAAAATTAAGGAAGGATACAAGGCTTTTCAATAGATAATACATAAGAAAATATAAAAGAAACATGAAAGCAGGTTATTTCTATTATTTTTATTAACTCAAATGATATTAACTGCAAGCCTGAACACATGTCTCAAGTCTTTTTGACCAAAACCAGAAGGTCTCAGCATACTCTTCTATGGGGATGCTTAAAAGATACTGATGGATGGCACTCCCCAGTGAAGATCTGGAAATGTAACTTCGTCCTGTCAGGATTTTGCCGACTTTTAGGAAATAAGAGAAGCCAAAAGGGACAGAGATCTTGAGAATACGATGGAAAGCTATCCTCTTTAAGCTTTTTCCTTTACATTTCTATGCTTGTTTGCAGCATCGTTGTCAGCTACAAGGAAAAAACACCACGGACACCTGTATGTGAAGTAAAACGTTTCAAATAGAGAACATGATGCAAAAATTTCTCTAATTATGAATTTAAAATTCATACATCTTAAAGTTGCAGAAATTCCATTGTCACAAATTTTCTTGGTATTATCACACTGTACTTTATACAGTGGACAAACCATCGCTTGCAGTCTCCAAATCTAACATTCAACCTGAGATATCATATTGGCTTTAAAAATAATTTATTCCAATTTCGAATGTAATTACTCTTTATAGGCATGCCTAAATGATGACGAGGAAGTATGAAAGTATTGCACTGCTTGAAATAATAATAATTAGTTATCATCATTATAATAGGTAATTAAATATATAAATAAAGATACATTTTAAGTAAAAAAAAATTCCATTTAAGTTAAAATTTCTGACGTGAATAATAAACATCACCTTACCTATTCAAGTCGAAAAGTGATTAATTTATTGTGCTTGGCGTACAAGTCTACATTAAAACATTTTTTGAGTCATCATCATTTAATGATATTATCTGTTACCTTTCAGTTTTTGAAATTTCAGTGTGAACAATTTAACAAAGTTTAATACACAAAAAAGTTTCACACATCGTTTAAATGTATAATTTCACTGTTATCTTCGCTATCACATATCAAAACACTGATCATCAATTTAATATAAACATCCACAAGATATTTGTCTTGCAAATGATAAAACTAATTCATTTCTTTTAAGATTTACGCTTTGTAAAACGTTTTCATTTATTGATATAACAAATTACTGTCCAATCCACCCCCTTGGAAGATTCAATATTGCTCTTTGATTATGTACATGTACTATCTTCTATCACACAGCATACAATTATGAACTATTTCAATGCTGATTCGGTGTTGTACAATATCATGTTATATGAATTTCATTTTCCTTTGGCGTGTTATGATTTAAATCTAGCGGTCTTTACGACAACATTGTCTAACTGTTTCGCTTAGCTGCAAATAAACTTGATGTAGGTCAAGAAGGAAAATCAATCCAAATGGAACGGCAATGAAAACGATTCCAAAATACCCCACGGTTGCAGAAGAAGTTCGGTCGTCCTCGGCACACGTTTTCGATCGTACATAAGAACTTATTGTTGTCTTGTCCACATATAACGCTTTTGTGATGTTTTCCACTGCTTCTTGTATATATTGTGTGTTTGTGATGTTGATAAATTTTGTTTGATTGTTACACGTCGTCAGCAATGGCGTCACTTCCACTGTCACAGTAGATGGCGCTATGTATGACGTCATAATGACAGTAGTTGGAACTACAGTTGTCATGGTAGCAGTGAAATGTGATTGGATGTAAGAAATTGTGGTTTCAGGAATATACGTCGTGAGATTATGATACGCAGTTTCTGTTGCTGTCACAGTTATGTTAACACAGATCGTTGATTCATAAACGGTGGTGGACGACGGCGTCATGGACACAGTGGCGGTACTTGTGGTGCTGACTATGGTTGTAGTAGGAACATTGATAGCTGAAAGTTAAAATATGCATCAATGTGTAAATAAAAACATCGATTAATATGTCAATTAATAAACAATTACCGGTAGAATCAAGTTATATTTGACATATCTATAACGAATCAATAACAACGAAAGTTAAAATTGCATTGTATTTATATTATTTGCCTTATATATGTGGTAAAAGTTTTGAAAATGTTTCATTTAAAGAAAGTCTCTTATATTGAAAATATTTTCAAGGTAGTATCATTTAAATATATCTATGTAAAATTATGATATTTAGTGGTAAAAATAACCAATCTTGAACAGATCATAATAACGATTCTTAAAAAGCAATTTTGATTTAAAGTTGACCTTAACCGTCTAAAATTGTAAATTTGTCAGAATTTACTGATATGTGATCGTCTTTATGATATTTTTTTTAAGCACGTATATAAAAATATAAATATGTTAAAGATTTTTAGAGTGTTAGATACATATGGTACATAATAATTTGATTGTTTCAGAATACGAGGTAAGTTAAATATTACATTCTTCTAGTAAAGCCACAAAGAAAAAATTACTTGATATCTGGACGGAAACTTTAGGGAACGCCAAATTATCATATATTCAAATATTTGAACCTATCTTCAATTCATAATACCTATCTCCAAATCAATTGTATCTATCTTCAAAGCAATTGTACCTATCTTCAAATCAATCGTACCTATCTCTAAATGAATAAAAGATAGGTTTAATTCAATCGAACCTATCTTTAATTCATTTGAAGATAGGAACAAACGATTTGAGGATAGGTACAATTGATTTGAAGATAGGTACAATTGATTCGAAGATAGATACAATTGATTTGAAGATAGGTACAAATGCAATGAATTAAAGATAGGTGTAATTGATATAAAGATAGGTGCAATTAATTGAACCTATCTTTAATTATAAAGACACTGGTAGTAACAACTACTCCCCGTAAAATGCTTTGTTCGGCTCTCTCTGTGTTCAGGTCGCTGTTAGAGGGAGCTCTCATTATTTTCAGTAACACAAAACGAATTGAACCTAGGTATAATTGAATTGTACCTATCTTCAAATCCCTTGTGGATATGTTTCAATTGTACCTATCTTCAAATCAATTGTACCTATCTTTAGATAAATTGTACCTATCTTCAAATGAAGAAAAGATAGTTATAATTCAATTGAACTTATCTTTAATTGAATTAAAGATAGGTATAATTCCATTAAAGATAGGTGTAATTTATTTGAACCTAGGTTTAATAATTTAGAGATAGGTATAATTATATACACCTATCTTTAATTCATTTATACCTATCTTTAATTCATTTATACCTATCTTTAATTCAATTGTACCTATCTTCAATTCATTTGGAGATAGGTTCAATTATTTGAAGATAGATACAATTATTTGAGGATAGGTTCAAATATTTGAATATATGTTGATTTGGCGTTCCATAAAACTTTATTATATGTATATCATAAACGATAATAATAATAATAATAAAAATAAGAGAGAGAGAGAGAGAGAGAGAGAGAGAGAGAGAGAGAGAGAGAGAGAGAGGCTATTTTGTATGTTAAGTTACCGAGGGAGTTAGAGCAGGTATAAGAGGGTGTTTTGTCATCATTTTTTGTTGGAACCAAGACTTCATCTGTCATTTTGACTTCACCTACAAGAAAAAAAAATTAAGGAAGTAGATAAACTTCATGTAATTTATAGTTCATATCTATTCATTGAAAAAAAAAATAGGAAAGGAGGACCAGGCGTATCTTTTTTTTTTTTTATTATGGCTTATCTTTAGAATCCTTGAAAATATATGATGATATCAATTTATCATGCTACATTTTCCCCCGGTATATTGAGAATGTATATTTCTCATACCGAACAATGATCATTATAGATTTAAACGATTATCTGTATCTACTGATGATAATTATGCCAATGAACAACAATTTAAGACAGAAAACATATAATTATGTGGTAAACACGTTATCATAGATACATTCCGACAAAGAAACTATATTCTATGGTCAAACAAAATAACTTTTAACTGGATTAAAAAAAAAAGAATAGAAAGACTTTTTTTCTCTCCTTGGATGCTAGCTATAACTGAGTTGGACTGGTATCACTATCAAATATTCGCTATAACTGTGTTGATCTGTAAGTGGTACTTACCTTTCGCGCACAGTTTAATCGCCACTTTGGCCTGATTACTGGTAGAGGTTTTTCTCAAATGTAAGCAGTGGTCACTTCCGTTTGAGTAGGAAATCATTGCGTAACAGTTGTCATCGGCGTCACATGAATTCTGACAGCTGTCTTCGTCCTCTGATTTGTATTTGTAAATGTCTACCTCAAAAATCGTGCTCAAAGGACATACCACTCCTATAAATTGATTCATTCATATATATAGTAACATGTAAACAGTTTAAGCCCTATAAGTAAAAACCATTCAATCTACAGTCAAATTGTCGTTATTTCGAACTCGACGGGAACAAGATTTAGCTACGAGATATCCGAGGAGTCGAGATAACGAGGGTAAAAAACATAAAGAAAAGGTGGTTGGGACTGCAAACTACATGTAACTTATTCCTGGTATTCGAGATATAAGTGTTCGAGGTAATGAAATTCAACTGTACTTCCCAAAAAGTCTGTGAGTAAGAAAAAGCATTCAATCTCATTTTTTAGCTGTCATTATTCTTATTAACCATCATTGGTAGCCTGCGTTGCGCAGTAGTTATAATTAGGGCGTTTGCTCTAAAGTCGCGGAGTTAGGAGTTGATCCTTACGTCGCGGGTCCGAATCCTACTGTTGGATGTGGAGACAGGTCCTTCGGTGAGACCGTATATACCGAGATCTGATGTTGCAGTAGGTTCAGGAAAAACATTCCTCATTGCTCAAAGGCCAAAGTGCCGAATACTGGTCTAAATTTGCAGCCCTCGACCGGCTAGTGGTGGAGTGTAAAATTCTCGAAGGGACGTTAAACAAACCAAAACAAAAATTAACAGCTATTGTTAAAATTATCGCTGCATTTCAAAAAATTACAATATTAGATCTTTTTCATTTGTACTTTTGGAACATGCATGCATTTGTATTGTGTATTTCACAATCTTCATTGTATAATGTTTTAATTTTTATTCTATAATTGTCAATTTGTATTGTATATTTTACTGAGTATTTGTATTGTATAAGTCTATAATTGTTCATTAGTATTCTTTATTTCATTATTTATACGGCAGCGAATTACCCATCACACCCTTTTCAATAAAAACTAATTATTGCAATTTATTGCATTAATTTTAAATATCATGAATTGAAGCTGTAAATGTTAAATATACAGTAAAGTGATATCTAAGAGGAAATTTAAACGCTAGAAATCGTTTTAATAAATAGGAACAATATGCCTTAAGTAAAGAAAACTTCTCTAACCTGGGCATCACTGGTTCTTGAGAAATTGGCCAGATTATACAACATTTAAACCAATTGAATGCATATAAAAGAACTCAAAGTTCACACCATTATAGACATGATTTCGGAAAACAAACCTCCGGATTTGTCAGCTGTTACTATGTCTACTTGAAGCTAACGATTTTTACCTTGGATTTTTTGCTCACAAATCACTGCAAACTTGTCTTCACATTTCTTCTGTTTCCATCGGTAGCTTTCATGTTCCTTTGTGGTATAGCACTGATGGTCATGCCGAAAGTCTATTTGTTTGTCGTCCTTGAAAAATACGAACTGCGAAAAATTCAGAGGAGTGCAGTCTACCCAGTTATGACCATAGATTGTGTTTGTCAAACCCATCCACGCCTCTTCATGTCTAGTATGACAAAAAAAAAGAAGAGAATTTAGGTCATTATTTTTCTTCAAAAGAAAGACTATATGACAGTTACGTAAGATTTTGTAATTTCTATTATAATTAGATGACTCTTTCTGACCTAAGTCTGGGTAATCAAAATATTACAAAATGAGCCCACCTAAAAATTATTATTATTTTTCTACCCATTAGCAATCATTTTCAATGCAGTAAAACATATCTTGTAGCTATAGTAGTTCATACAATTTCATGTACTTTCTTTTTTGTAAAGAACACTTCTTTTCCGGAGATTTGAATAGTCTTCGGAAAAGAAGTGTTCTTTACAAAAAAGAAAGTACATGAAATTGTATGAACTACTATAGCTACAAGATATGTTTTACTGCATTGCAAATGATTGCTAATGGGTAGAAAAATAATAATAATTTTTAGGTGGGCCCATTTTGTAATATTTATAATATGGCTACGGCCATCAAATCTTCTAAAATTACACTAGCTTTCAGAATGTAATGATAATTAATTTTCATTACGGTATAAAAATAAATTCAAAGTAGAAGTTGAAATTTCTTAACATGTGAAGCAAGCAGGTTGAAGGTTTTTCAACGAGTTATACTAAATCATATGTTGTTAATGTTGTGATCAAGATCGACTCAATTCACAGTTAAATTCTCCGGTTAGAGATTAGAATACCATTATTCAGTACTAAACATTATCAATAAATTAATTAAAATAATACTTTTAAGTTTACCTATTGCTCATTTAAGAATGTATAACATGTTTTCAGATATTTAATTATTTACATAATGGGTACGTTCAAGTTCAGTTTGTTCACTCTAAGCATATCAAATGGTACATCGGAAACATAAAGCTTATAAGCATGTCTGAATTCAAATCGAAGGAGGTACAATATAAACAGAGCTATACTTATTACATTTTTAGTTTATTTCATCAGTATAAGAAAATAAACAGCATTTTAATTCTCATTCTTTAAAAAAAAAGTATGAGCATGCTCAATGGACTTTTGCGAGAAGCACTGACTTTTACAGTCGACGGCTTACTTTGACATTTAAGCCTGCCTTATGTACGGAGGTACGAAATTGATTAAAGAGAAGGAAACCATCATAGTGGTTAAAGGTATGGTGTTAGGGGTACTAACATGATTAACTGATATGCAATCAATGCAAGAGATGATGGGAGGCAGAATTACATAACTTAAATCACCTTACTCATAAGGGGTAGTATCTCTTTTCAATCATATTTTCTGAAGAAATTAAATAAGGAAGAAAAAACATTTCGAAAGGAAAAGAAGTAACAGTATGGGAAGGGAGGTGATTGAGGGCAGGGTGGATGCCGTTCCCTTCCTAGACAACGTAATATGTGCTTTGAAATGGCCCATTATTATCGTTTAATTAATTCTTCAGATAAATATTTATATCGCATAAGAGCTTCCATATATTGTCATAGTGTAAAAGTAAGCCGTTTATTATAAAAAGTCAGCAATTCTCGCAAAAGTCCAATATTAGTCCGTAAAAAAATCAACATTGCCAGGGATCATAATCGTAACCATTACTTTCAGTCACATGGTCATACATCAAACAAGGCAAATCTCCGTATTAGGAATATCAGTTATATAAGTGCAGATATGGCTTCTTTTGTTGACATACATTAATCTCCATTACAGACTTATTACTAGAAAACGGTCGATAACATTTATTATTCCAATGCAAAAATTGCAATACAATGTACTGATATTCAAAATGTCTGCTTCCGGTAGCACTGACCTGAAAGAATCAGCACTAGAACTCAATGACAAGCAAACATCAGCAAACGCAGGGATATTTCTATCATGAAGCCAATCCTGGCAATGTGTTGGAAATCTTGTATTTTTGGGGTATTCAGACCAACGTCTGTGTTGGTCATTAGCATAAAAACAAAAACAAAAACAAAACAAAAACAAAAAAAACAAAAAAAAAAAAAAAAAAACAAAGAAAAAAAATTGAAAAAATACTCGTTTGGACATATTTCAATCAGTCATTCCTAGGGTGAATCCTTGACAACATCATTTTTAATATTTCCAATAATCAAAGTGAATTTGAATTACCATACCTATACTGGATTCAAAAACTCCATAAAAATCCTTACAAAAAAGATACATAGCCCGATGATAGCGGATGCCAGTAAATGTTCCACCAAGCCTCTTTCTTTA